CTGAACATGTGTGCAGTGCTGGGGCTGTGGCGTGGGTGGTGGGACCGTGCTGGTGGCGATTGCTCATCTCCCGAGGATCCGCTGGTGGGGAGGAGAAGGTGGTGCCCAGATGTCGCTGGGATGTGAGGCGCCGACACCGAGGATGCAGCTCCTCCGCTTGCAGCAGCTTTCCCCCAGGCTGTTGAAGCACAGCTGGTGTCACCTAATGCATGCCCTGTCCCCTCTGACAGGTGGTGGCCAACGCAGTAGCAGCTCTCTCGGAAATAGCGGAGTCTCACCCAAGCAGTAACCTCCTGGACCTCAACCCCCAGTCCATCAACAAGCTGCTCACGGCCCTGAACGAGTGCACCGAGTGGGGCCAGATCTTCATCCTGGACTGCCTGGCAAACTACATGCCTAAGGACGACCGGGAAGCCCAGAGGTGAGGGAGGCTCTGGGCACTGCCTTCGGGGCACCGTGGACTGGCCAGAGAGGGCTGGAAAGGCGAGGGGGACAGGCAGGTAGCGGCTGAAGGGCCTGACGCTGCTTCTGCTCCTCTGAGAATCACCTTCATCCTCCTGACCCTTGGAATCCGGCTGCGGGAGGTGGGACAGTGGGCGCCTGCTGCCTTGGGCACAGCCGTCTGCAGACTGCCGGGGTCCCGCAGCGAGCCCTGTCCCCGTGCTGGCACGGGGATTCTGCTGCTTGAGCTGCTTCAGAACATGCCCTCGCTGTGCAGCGAGGGACCGCAGGCACTGGGGAGCTCTGGAAGGGGGCCGCTGCAGCAGGGTTTTGTAGGAGCTGGGCAATAACCTGCGTCAGGGCATTTAAGAGCCTGTTCGGCATCCCTTGGGAAGGTCCCAAGTGCTGCTCAGCTGTCCTGCAGCTAGCTTGGCCAGCGCCTTGTTCCTCTCCGTCGGCGCTGGAGCAGTGTTTGAGCAGGAAGACGGGCTGTGGTCATTTTCTTTCCCTTCTGCTTCCCCCTCACCCCTCCAGCATCTGCGAGCGGGTGACGCCCCGGCTGTCCCACGCCAACTCGGCGGTGGTGCTCTCGGCGGTGAAGGTGCTGATGAAGTTCATGGAGATGCTGTCGAAGGACCTGGATTATTACGGCACGCTGCTGAAGAAGCTGGCCCCGCCGCTGGTCACCCTGCTCTCCGCAGAGCCTGAGCTGCAGTACGTGGCTCTCCGCAACATCAACCTCATCGTGCAGAAGAGGTGGGTGCCGCGGGGCGGCAGGGGGGACAGCCTGGCTCGGGCTTTCCCTCTGCTCGACGGGCACTGCTTCCCAGCGCTTCGAACCCTCTGGCTGCGACGGTGTCAGGGCTTTGCCGACGCAGCCCGGCATATGAAGGTTTATTTCTTCTCTGTTATTTAAAATGCAAGGGCTGGACGCAGAGAATCGGGAGATGCAGTGGGCAGGGAGCTAAGCTGGGATCTCCGGGGGGGTCAGTTTAATTTATGGTTTATTTGGGGCAGCAAAGGATGGAAAGGCCAAAAGCTGAGACTTTGGTTTGGGCATTAAATGTCTAGCGAGGAACTTTCGTGAGATCACCTTCTTTCTGTGCAGTCGTCCTCTTTGAGTCGGTGCTGCGAGTCCTTTTGTCCCTTTGCTGATCTAAAATTCCGGTGGGCAGGGGGTGTCCGTGGCCCCACACGTGTGCCCCGAGCAGAACCGGCCAGCTGGAGAGCCGTGCTCCGCAGCGACAGGCCCGGTCAGATGATTTGTTGTCTTACCAGCGAGCGCTGTGGTTGCCTATTAAAAATAGCAGCAATTTCTGGGAGAAGTGGAAAGCAATTAGTGTCCCTGGGAGCGGGAACGTGGAAGGCAGGTTGGCTCCCCGGAGCCGGGCCTGGCCCGGCCCTTTCCCAGCGGAGAGGGTGATCTGGTGAGAAAGGTCCAGCCTAGCCCTGGGCTCTGGGTTTGCGTCCCTGCTCACCCCGAGACGTCGCTTCCGACCTTGGCAGGGCAAACGTCCCCCGTTGCCTTGCATCTGGTCTTTGTTTGCGGCAAGGTTGCTCCCTGTCCCCCGTGCGCCGGTGAAGGGGAGCCAAGGGGCAGAGTCACGGGGGGCGAATCGTGGCATCTGGGATGTGTTGGACTAGCCCCCAGAACCTTGTGCTTGTGGCCGAGGAGCCTCGTCCTCCTGGTCCGGAGCTGCTCGCTCTCCGGGTTTCCCCACGTTATGTCCTCGGTGTCCTCAAGCCTGCGCCATCCCAGCCCCAGCCTCGGCCGGGCAGCGAGGATCCGTGCTTGTAGCTGGCTGAGGGAGTGGTGGATTTGCGCAGACTCGGGGCGGGAGCTGGCTGCGGGGCAGGCAGGTGAATCCCCCCCGTCTCCTGCCTGGCGAGTGCTCTCGGGGGGCCAGCTCCCCTTCTGTGCCACTTGGCCTGCTGCTGGCTGTCTGGGTCAGAGCCTGGAGGTGGGAGCAGAGCTCACATCTTGCTTGTGCCACCAGAGAAACCATCTGACGGCAGTGTTGGGTGTCCAGAAAGCTCTGGAGGAAACCGTGGCTTCTGGGAGACTTTTTTGTGCTCTCTCCCTCTGTGGTAAAAGCGAAGGAGCGTGTTTATCCATTAACGGCTGCCTCCGGTTGTCCTCCAGGCCCGAGATCCTGAAGCACGAGATGAAGGTGTTCTTTGTGAAGTACAACGACCCCATCTACGTCAAGCTGGAGAAGCTGGACATCATGATCCGCCTGGCCTCCCAGGCCAACATTGCTCAGGTCAGGCTCTGCCACCCACCAGGCCGGCTGGGCACCAAAGGTGGGTGCGAGGGGGCACCAACCCCACGGGGAGGGGGTTTGCTCGAGAAACGGTAGACCCAGCTTTGCAGGACGCTGACGGGAGCAGCGGTACCACCCGCTCTGCCTCTGCTGGGTCACCGCTCTGCTTCTCCGGCGGCTTCTTCCGGCAGGCGGGGG